AGGGGTTGGAGGGAGAATGGGGAGCCAACTGAAATGTAGGTGAGGGAGGGAAGATGGGGCTGGAGCGCTGTGCCAGAGCCAGTTTGTGGAAGATTGGTGCCATGTGAAGCCCTCAAGCCCAGCGCCTCACGTGTCACTTTATTCAAAGACAGGGCCGTTGAAGAGGTGATTAAGTAAAGATGAGCCTATTAAGAATGGCCCCTAATCCAGTCTGACCAGCTTCATTTTATGAAGGGGAAATTTGGAGATGCCCGTGAGACACCAGGGGCCTGTGTGAACAGAGAGCACCACGTGAGGACACAACGAGAAGGGTTGTGGGAGGTCTCAGGATAAGCCAGGCCTGTGACTCCGCGAGCCTCCAGGACCGGGCAGAAATAAATGTCTGTTCACACACCCAGTCTGTGGTCCTTTTTTGTGGCAACCGTTGGAAACTCTCACTAGAGGCCTTCTGACCTCGGCAGGGAAGCTCCTTGAGTTCTCCTGACTGGAGAGTCCGTTTCTCCAAGTCCGTTCAGTTTAAGTGAGGCCATGTGGAGGTGGAGGTTTGCCCTGGGGACCAAGTGTGGTTTTAGTGAGAATGGTGTTGCGTGTGGTCGAAGGGTGAGGCGGGCTTAGAGATAGAGTATTTCAGTTGTGGCCTTCCAGAGCTCTGTCTGTAGGAAAAGAAGGATTATGGAGCCATTGCTGCCTTTTAACGCATCTGGAACTTGTTCTGTTCTGCTTGGGTTAAACGAGGATGTGATTTGTCTGGGGTGACCAAGTCTGGTTCAGAAGTTCCTTCCCTGCAGCCCTCTCTATATATCAATGGTCCTTTCACTCTGCAAGCAGCAGCCCTATCTTTCTTCTTGTTCCTTCTAGCACATTCATTTACAGTGCTTTAAATCTTGCGCGTGGAAGACCTTTCCTCTCGCCTGTAAATCACAGCCTGACTGGTAAATGGATAGGTCCTCGGCGGTCCCAGGTTCTCACCCCAGCCGGTTGCATCGCAGCTGCAGGCTGTGCTGAATGGGTGAGGGATTCAGGCCATCTGATGGTCCCAGACCGCCATGTTCTAAAACCACATGCTGTGTTGGCTCAGATTGATGCTTATATTTGATGCTTTCCACAGAAATGCCAAAAACAGAAGAGAGATGTTTTAAAACAGTTGATAAAATTGGCAGCTGCATTGCCAGAGCTTCGTTGTTTCGTCCTGAGTGGTTTGCTGCAGTTTAGGCAGATTCCGTGGCAGAGTTGGCAGTGGGGAAGGATCTCAGTCATGGTTCCGCGGAGGCAGCCTTGCAGGCTGAAGGTGCCGGGATGGCAGGCTTGTGAGTGGGTGCTTTGCAGCCCTGGGAACCCCACTAGAACTTTCCAGTTAACTCGCGGTCCCACATCACACAAGTGTCTCTGATCTTCTCCATTAGCCTCAATTCTCTAGATTTTACAGAGGGATCAGGAGGCATGGAAGAGGAATTTTTCTTACCTTCCTCACAGAGATCAGAAAGGCACTTCATCTCTCAGAGCTGCTCCTCTCGCCGGCGATGAGCGTGTCTTTCCATGTCAAGCCAGCGCCCTGTTTGAGGTTCTCTTCTCCATCATCTCGGTCCCTTTAGACACCAGTTAGCCCTCTTACTCTCATTCTTGACCCCTCCCCTTTCGAAACACACCCAGGTGTTCCTGCTACAGACAGTCACGTAGACAGTACCCTTCCTCGATTCTTCACATCTTCAGCTCCACTCTCTGGCCTCCACTGCAGAGACAAGATTCTCAAAAATGCCATTCATCCTTCTTACCTCTTCACCGCCCATCACTTCAGACCCATCACTGAGCCAACTGACCAGTAGGTACTCTAATTCCCATCTTATCTGAGCTTTCAACAGTTCTGGGTATTCTTCCTTCTGAAAACAGTCTCCTGTGACGTAACTCGCTCCTTACTCTCCTTCTGTCCATCGGGCTGTTCCATGGTGGTGTTGTCTTCAGTGCTGATGCATTTTGCCCTCTGCACTCTGCATCTGTCTTCCTCTGTGGAGTCAGGGCAGTTCTGCCCAGGCTTCTCCTGTGAGCCCTGGCCAGGAGTGTCCTACTGCTGTCATATGTTTTCTTCCTTATAAAATCCAAGAGCACCTCATAAAACCAAGTTGTCCAGACTCCCTCCATGCTGGCCCTCTTCCAGTGCTTCCTGTCTCTGAGAATGCACCTACATCGCCCAGATGCCCATGGCAGAAAGTTTCATGTGGTTCTGGTCATTACCTCCTCCCACACATGCCATATCCAGTCCGTCTGCAACTGTATGTCTGCCCTCTGGTCCAAAATGCCACCCTCTGTTACCTGGACAATTGTAATAGATCGACCTGTCTTGCTCTGGCCCTTGCCTCTATTCTCACCCTGCCAGGCTAGTTGTTTCGATGTGGGAATCTTAGTGTTAATTAGTCCCACACTTAAAACCCTTACTTTGCTTCTAGGGTAAAGACAGTTTCTTAAGAAGGCCTTGGTGGGGCCTGGCCCCTTCCTGATTCCTTGCTCTGCCGCCATGTTGGTTTCCTTTCACCTTAGGTATCTAGACAAGTGGTTTTCATGCCTGTCCTCACGTGTCCTTCTTACTCCTCCTGCTTTCACACTTCCGCACAGTGTCCCTTCAGGGAAGCTTCCCCCTGCTGCCATTCCTCCCGTGATTTGGCCAAACCTTTTTGTTGCAGACACTGAGTCTGCTGGGACTTGTCTCAGGTACTTCTCTACTTTTGTGAGGAGGCTTTTGATTCTTCTCTGTCCTCCTTGTTAGACTTGAAACTCCATGAAACAGGGACCGTGATAAGTTTTCTCATTATGCTTCCAGAGCTCAGCCTAGGAACACAGTCATTTTTTGTGAATGATCAGATGAGTTTGAAGAACAGGATTTGAGTTCCATCTTTGGGAACCTATTTTCTGAATCTCAGTTTTCTTTATCAAATGGAGGTACTTTGCCTCCTTATCCATCTCTTAGGATTCTTAGAAGGGAAATAATATATTTCGCAAATGATGATTGAGACTTTGCATGATTATACTCTCATCTCAAAATTGGGGCTTATGAATATGGCAGTGGAGATAACCCTGGGTCATTGAGTGCCATTGTTTATTCTCTCTAACAAGAGAGCATGAGGGGCGTGGGGAATATAGAAATGAGAATGTCATTATGAAATCTTGTTTATTTGAAAAGTTGATGGGGAAGATTAACTTGAATAAGTAGGAGTTTAAAACATTTAGTTTTTTCTTTATGAGACAGGTGCTCACAAATAATTCAAATAATGCAGAAAGGCAGAAGAATAAATCATCTCACTTCACAAGCACTTTTTACCTCATTCTTAAATATTCATCAAAAATGCCATTTTTAGGGCCTCCCTGGTGGCGCAGGGGTTAAGTCTCACTGCTGTCAAGCTATCACCAGCCACTGAAGCATAAGTTTGGTCCCCAGCCAGGGAGGTGACCCACATGGCGCAGCAGACCTCTCTTGTCTCGCCCACTGCTCCTCTCAGCAGTGTGTTTCAGTAGCTCTGCTTGTTCTGATCCCCACTTTGTCTCTAGTGAATCCTCTCAGCCCACCACCCCGGCCATCTGGCCTACACTCCAGTTCTTGTATGCATAAATAAAATAAATCTATAAAAAAATGTAATTTTTAATGCATGCCTGATAATGTCATACAGATGTACGGAAGACTATTACTTGTTTATTTTAAGTAGGTTATTTAAAATTTGTTACTATTGTTAAAGAAAATACCACAATCAACACTGCTTGTACATTAATTTTTGTGTGCTTAAATGCAGAGTCTACCAAAGTTGAATTGCTGAATGCGAGAGTACACATACTTTTTGGGTTTTAATTATTCCCTGGTTACTGTCCAGAAATGCTGTACCAGTTCATCCGTCCACCGCTGGAGTAAGACAGAGCCAGCTTCCCTGCACCCTTGCTGGCTTGTACAGACACACATGTACTGGCCTACAGTCTTACCTAGAAGCAAATTTAGTGGATGATAATATTTGATAATTGAAATCTGTACATGTTGTGTAAATTACTACTGATTTTGAACACTTACCAGTTAGTCATGGATTTATTTCATCATCAATTACCTGGTCTTTGCAGAGTTTTCTGTAGGTGTGTTTTTCTTTTTAATGTATACCTATAAAACCCTCATTCTTGGCTTTTTATCTATAAAACCCTGTTTATATTAAGCACATCAACCTTGGTTACAGCTATGAAACCTGCAACTATGAGCTTGAGTAGAATCCTCTCTAAATGATTACAAGTTCAAGGGGAGGTTGAAGAAAAGCATGTTGTGAAATGGGTTGATATGTTAACTTGTGCTTTATTAATAAGGGTGGCTGGTTCCTTCCTCCGCTCCCCTCCACCCCCTGAAAATTTTCTACTGAATTTACATGCTGAAGTGCATGTGGATGAAGAGTCTGGACTTGACTTTGGACAATCTGATTTCAGCTCTAACTCTTGCACCCTTGAGCTGAGGGACCTGGGTCAAGTTACTAAACTTATGCCCCAGTTTTTCTCCCAGGAAACAGGAATCCTTCTGGCCTTGTTTTCAGAGGGTAGAGTTGATGGTGGTATTCTGTCAATATTCACTCCCTTTCCCTCTCCCTCACAGAGGTGCTGGTCTGTAAATACATGCACCTAAGGGTGCTGTTTCAAGATGGAGCGTGTATACTTCACTCGGTTCATAGTCCGATGAACAGTTATTCATTAATATTTGCTGAGCAGATAACAATGATAAAGTGAATGTAGAAAAATAATTAACTGAATTAACCATTTCCTTCTCAAAGATTTTAATTTTGAAGTTCAGAGATACTGTTAGTAAATTCAGATGTGTTTTATAAAAGTGGTAGATGACGTAAGATTTGGCATTCTGGAGGAATAAAAGGAACAGACAACTGCAAATACTCAAAACTATTTTGATTTTAAGCAGCTCCAAATAGTCTCAAGATAACTTGTTCCCTTTCATTGAGAATTTATGTCTTAATTTGTTCTTTTTTCCTTTGTAGGTGTGGCTGGATCTCTTAAAACCTATTGTCAAGCAGATTAGAAGTAAGTATAGATGGTGTGTTTTAAATAGAAAACCTCACATTTTCATCTTGAAGGCTTTGCCTGCCCTGTGCCATCAAGCATGGGGCTTTGAATCTTTTTTTTAACCCCGATGATTGCTTTCCATCATCCTCTCATTCCACACACTATTGCAGTCTGTCTTTTGCAATTTTAACGTAGAACAATTTGTAATCAAAACCTTGCTGGAGAAATCAAATATCATTTTGATTAACAACCAGAGCATGCTATTAAACCCCAGAATAATTGGGCTCATCTTGTCTGCCCATGTGTCTTGCTGTCACTTTTGAAGGGAGAAGGGGAAACGTTTATTCATAAAAATTGGCATTAGGTTTTCTGTCCTACCTCCTCAGAGCCTGTGCAAATCAGAATGTAATTGTGGTCTGGAAAAATACAGTTCCCGTGAGAGAGAGAGAGAGAGAGAGAGACTGTGTGTGTGTGTGTGTTTCTGAGTGTTTCTGAATAGCATGTAGAACTGAAGGGCTCTGACTTGCATTTAGACCCTGTGTTGGAAAAAAGATTAAGGAGGATCTGGGAGAGGAGTTAGAAAGTCAAGAGAATGCTTGCTTTTTGTCTTCCTTCTCATCCTGCCTCAGCATTGGACCATCCCTCTCCTTTCTCTGCTCTGAGGTCGAGTTCAGGGTCAAACTCTGGTGTCAAAGTCATCCCAAATGGCCCCTCACTGCAGCAAAATAGAGTTTCTCTAGTTCAACATGAAGCAAAGGATACCTCAGGGATCATTTTTATGTCTGATTAGGAAACCCCTCTGGGCCACTTGTGGCAATTTATGTAGATGTAATAAACGGGCCTCAGCGTCTGTAGGCCCTTAAGCGATTGAAGTGGGTGTCACTCTTCTGCCATTTAAATTAAGCAATCGGGCCTCCCCAGCTGGCGAAGGCGGTTGAGCGCAGCGCTGTGAAGCTCTCTGCAGCCTGTGCAGCGTGGGTTTGATCCTGGCTGGCCAGCCGGCCCACGAGGGCCCCACATGACACAGCAGACCTCTCCTGTCTCACCCACTGCTCCCCTCAGCAGTGTATTTCATCAGTCTGCCTGTTCTGTTCCCCACTCTGTCTCTGGTGAATCCTCTCACCCTCCTGTGCATCTGGCCTGTACCCTGGTTCTTGTATAAACAAACAAACAAACAAATAAATCTAAAATCAATTAATCAATTAATTAAGCAATTATTGATGCTGAAAATGAAATAGCCATTGTTTGGTAAAACTTTCGGTGGGTGGCTGGCCAGTGCCCAGGTGGAGCAAAGTGCTTTGGTGAGAGAAGTCCCCATGGTGATGGGTGGAGGTGACTCATGTTTAAACGATGACTTGTCCCCCTGACAAGTCAGACATAAAAATGATGCCTGGAAAGTGTCAGTGGTGCCTCTTGCCGGGTACCAGAGACCGAGGGAGGGACAGCATCTGTGGGGATCAGATCTGTGCTGCATGTTTCTCCCTTCCGGCCCCAGGTGCTGCTGTCCCTGGCCTATGGCAAAGCTGTCCCGTGGCCCTTAGTCCTGCCTTCTTCAGAGCCGTGGTTTGTCCAGGGCTTGAGTCATTTTTGCTAAATTCCTCTCTGTGAACGTTTTGGTGAGAGGAGATAACACGTCTCCTCATCTTCCCCAATTTTGCTACTGCTAATTTTGTGACCCAGGAGGGACATGCAAGGGTTTCAGTTATTTTTAGTGATTATGGAAAAGAAGCTCCACTTCTCTTGGCTTCAATTATTTCTGTGCCTTCAGTTTTTTCCCTCCCCCCCCCTTTTTTTTGTATCAGTGTCAATATCTTCACCTTAAGATGTATCATTTTGGGGTTCTTCACTTGAATGTGCCATCCTGGAAGTTATACTTCAACGTCTGTTTTTATACGACAGTGAGAGGTAGAGCAAAGGACGTTTTCTGCTTAGATCAACTACTGCTAGAATATGGGTGTCATTGTAGCACCTTTCATTTTGTAGAATGCAAACTTGTTGTCATTCCAAATGGCAGGACTGCTCCTTTATTGTAAGATTGCTCTAAAAAGTCAACTCTGACTTGGAGCATTATGATTATTTTCTATTCTATTTGTTCTTTTTTAATTCTGAAGAAAAACTACTTCATTTGGTCTGTTCCTGCCTATACCCTCCCAGATCTGCTTCCTGATTGTGTCTGAACTCATCTGTACGATGGTCCCTAAGACACATGTAAGACTTCCACTGATGGTGACAGGGCCACATCTGTTTATATTTTCTCTCCAGAGCTCAGGAGAGCACCTGGCACGTAGATGGATATTTGAGGAAAACATCAACAGCTGTATTTTTTAATCAAACATAACAGAGTTACATTTCCAGTTATCACTTTCATACATCATCTAAAGTTACTATTTGGACTAAAGTAGGCAATTAAATCTATTTCGAAGGCAATTATGCTTTTTAAAAACCTGGACACAAATATCAAGAAAATGTATTTACGACCTCAATATAAGGCCCTTGTTGGGGTGTATTTCTGAAACAGACACGTGTCTCCCCACTGTATGTGTGCATCAGTAACTGAGCAACAAATGTACTCCTGGCAGCTTGGGATCAGATTCCTTATCTGGTGTAGAACAGACCCTGTAAGGTTGTTTTCTTTAATGGTATTAGAAACGCTAATCCATGAATGTTCTACTGCTTCTTTTCTTCCTCAGGGCCAAAGCATGTTGTTGTTAAGTTTGTGGTGAAGTTCTTTCCACCTGACCATACACAACTCCAAGAAGAGCTCACCAGGTGAGTGGCTGCGAGACTGGGGGTGTACTGTGTGGGGTGCTGAGAGGAGCAGACTGGGCATGCGCGCACTGGTTCCATGACCAGCACTTGTCTGTGCTCAGGAATCTCAGCCCAGCCCCCGTGTGGGTCAGAGACATGGCAGACGTGTCTCCTGGATCCTGGTTTCTTCAAGGCTATGCTAGGAAGTGAACTGGGCTTATAAGCATCAAGGTCAGATTTCCCCTCTTCTATCTTGCACAACCCCAGACAGTTTTGAGAAGGGAAGCACTTTGTGAAATCAAGATTTCAACTCAGTTTCTCTTGGCTGCTGCCCTGTGGGTAGTGGACACAGACGGGTCAGGCTGTCTTTTGGACATGTGGCCAAGTGGGAGATGCAGGAGCCTCGGGTCAGACTGGCCTGACTCATGCCCCCCACACCTTTCTGCATTCCTGGGTCAGTGCGGCCCTGTGCTTCCCGGGGTGTTTTCCAGATCAGCATCGTGACACATGAGTCACTGGATGCCCACGGGGAGCTGTGACAGCCGTCCTCAGCACCGTCACTGCTCCTTTACAACTCACAGCCAGACAGATGCTGTGAGAACGTGTGAAGGTTAATGCCTCTCAAGAGTCCCTGGGCCTGGCCACCAGTTTTTACCACCCGTGTCATTCAAGCAGTAGCTGCTGAAGACTGAGGCTGTCTCCTGAGGATGACCAATGGCTTTCTCCTGCCTCTCACTACAGACCAGGGTCTGGGGTCGTGACCGTCATCTGTCAGATGGGTAAAGACGTCCCACCCACAGTGTTTGTTCAGTGTGCCAGCATTTATTCCTGCTCCTGGACCCAGCGTGGTGAAGACAAGCCCAGACCCTCGGGGACAGATAAAATGATGAGATGACATAAAAGAAATCACATTGTGCCTGGAGCTTTTGGATAATTGAAAGGGGGCACTGTGGTCGAAGGGGATCGGATGGTGGCTTTACCTTGGCCAGCTGAGGGGCCCTCTGAGGATGTGACTGGGATATGTCAGTCATTGTCTGAGGAAGAGCTTTCCTGGAAGAAGGACCAGTTCATGCTGTTTCCAGGGCAGGAGCAAGCCCCTTACATGTGCAAGTCCTGTAAGAGTGCAGGCAAGGCGGGTGCAATGAGTGGGGCAAGGCCCGTGGTATGTAGTGTTGGAAGACCGAGTGCCCTGTGGGGGCGTGGGGAACCCAGTGAAGAAGATAGGATAGTCGTCCAGACCCAGCTGACGCTAAGAAGATGGCAGGAGGGAAAGTGGAGCCAAGGGGTTGCATTGGGAATGTGCTGGAGGTGGGCTTGGTCTGTCTTGGTGATGGGTTAGGGGCCTGAGAACACTCCAAGGGGGAGGCTTAGATTTTTCACTTGAGCAGCTGGAGGGGTGATGATGCGACAGTGGAACTGGGATGGGGTAGCGGGAAGCAGAGGACTGGGAAGGGGTGGAATGTCAAGGATGGGTCCCGCATTTGAGATGCCCCTAGACATCACCTGGCTGAGTCCGCTGGGCCACTGGGGACATGAACTCGCATTCCAAGGTGAAGGGAAGGCCAAGCCTCTTCCCTGGCCCTGTTATTTCTCAATGAGTTGCCACTAATAGTCTGTCTCCACTTCAGCCCTCCCATCGGTGAAGCAGTGGAAGGTGGCCAGGAGTGGCAGAAGCCGCTGTGTCCTGGGGGCCCCGTGCGGTTTGCTGAAAGGCCTCACGTGCAGGAGGAGCTGCAGGAGGTGGGGAGCCCAGGGCTTATGCTCTGTCGCTGTTGGGCCACTGTGTCTCAGTTTCCGGGGCTGATTTTCCTCCTGTTGGAACATGCATTGTTCCCAGCTCACAGTATTGAAATAAATCTAAACACAGATCAGTGACTGGTCCTCCTGGGCCTCTTTCCTGCTTAGGAAGTTGGAAGCATAAATCTTTTTTTCCCCTTCATTTCATTCTCCCCATCTTACTTTGCAACTGAGTTTTGCACCTTTTCTGTTTTTGTGAATCATTGTCTCTAGAGGTTTCTAGTTCTTTCCCGTCCTGGTCCTGGTTATAAAATTCCATACAACTTGTTAGCTGCCTGCCAAGTGGGCCTGGCATCAGGCCAGCCGCCCCATCCAATCTGATGACTTCCTCAAGTTACACAAGCTCAGCTGGACACAGCAGGCTTGGGTTTTTGTTGTTTTTATTTTCTGGCTCCAGTATTCACTGACATTTACAAAATCTTTTCAAAGAGGAGAATTCTTCTGGCTCGAGGGTGAATTAAATTGATAGGAAATTCAGAAGCTCCCCGTCGCTTTCCACGTTGTCACAAGGTTTCCCGTGAAGGGGACCTCCCAGATCCACAGGGTTCACTCCATGCTCTCAAGTTCCTGTGTAAGCAGAAATTTAATGATGAGGCCCTTGAGGTTCCAGGCAGTTTTCTCAGCAGATGGTGAGGGCAGGCGGGCCCGGGGCAGATGTCTGTGGTTCTTCAGGCGAGGTGGCATGGACTAGAGCGAGGCCAACTCTGACCTGTCGTGTAGCAGGGAGTGAGTGACCATCTCTGTGGCTAATCCTGGGCCTCCAGGAATGGCTTCAGCTTCCTATTCATGCAGATAGAAGATTAAATTGCACTTTGTCCTTCAAACCAGGCGCTGAATTCCATTCTCTTTACTGGTCTGCACTTTTGGTGGGACTCTGTCCTGTTGACACCACAGCCCAGGCCTGGAAAAGGAAAAGTACTGATTTTTAGGTGCAGGGTGGAAACAGCTGCGGAGAGGGGCTTTGGGAAAGAAATTACCCATTTTCTGATGGCAGAGCCCGGAATAACTTTTCTTGCACTGCTGTGTTCAGGCACCCCTCCCTCTAGGCCCCCTGTCTTCAACCAGGTCCAATGTCTACTTAACGGTATTGCTCTTGGAGGTGGACACCCCCCTTCAGAATTTGTGGGACCGCTTCCTTAGGCTAGAAGAGGAGTTGTAAATAATGTGCATTGCCCACCAAAAGGGTGTTTAATGAAATAAAATAGGCATTTATTTTTCAATTTATAAGTTTATTTTTTTAACTGCGGTAACATTGAGGACCCCACCCCCACCCCAATCAGGTATCACCTCCATGGTGCACACCCACCTCCAAATCACCCATCGTCCACCAGCACCCCCTGAGTGCTTGTCAGTGGCACTTTTCCTCGAACAGCACATTCCTGAAGCCCACGGGAAAGGTCAGCAGGGACCGCCCAGAGGCTGTCAGACTCGTCTCGAGTGTGTCCCTAGTGGCTGCTTTGTGAACACAGCACCCTGCTCTTGAACCAGCTCGTGGAAACATACTGAAGAGCATAATGCTCCTGCAACAGAAGCAGTAATGCTCCTGCTTCTCAAAGAGCTAACCCCATCATAAGGTGGGAGCCTGTGGCTGTCCTAACCCTGGGGGTTAGACAAAGGTCCACTATTTTCCGCTGGTAGATCTGGGGGTGGTTTTCTTTGGGTTTAGGTTTTGTTTTTCTGTTTGTTTGCTGGTTACAGAATTGCTGCTGTAGTTTTTTAGTTCTTAATAATGGCATTTTCTAAATGACTTGAAAGGTCATTTGGAAGGGATGCATTTTTTTTTTACTTTCATTTAAAAAACTGCTAACTCTTGAATATTTTTGTTCTAATCTATGTGCTTTCCATATGCCACCTCATTTCATTCTTATGAAAACCTCTGCGGTTGGTCTTGTTTAATTAAGCCCTTTTTGTTTTTAATTAAAAAAAAAAAAACATTTGGGGCAGGCTATGAAATACATACACAAAATAGACTGTTTTCCTCTTACCCAGAGATGACATCATTGTTAACACATCAGTGTGACTTCCCCTCTGCTTTTTTTTCTGGGCCTCTCCATGTACTTTTAATCTCATCTTATTCCCTGGCCAAACTCCAATTTCTCCATTTGTCCCCCACATGCCATTTAGACCAGCTCATCTGAAATGAGACCCCCCCCTGGAGGTCCCTGTCGTGTGTCTAGTTACTGTGCTCGTGGGCTCTTTGAATCCAGCAGAGTTCCTCATTTTTTTAATTTATGATGCCACCTTGTTGCAGAAACTAGACCCATTCTAACTCCAGGATTTGGGGGATGGCCTCCTTGTCCTCTCTCGTTTACTCCTCTGTCCTGTATTTCATGAAAACTAGAAGTTAGTTCTGAAGGCTGGGGGAATTTCAGTTAAATGTATTTGGCTGGAGCCCTCACCTGTTGAGTGCTTAATGTTTCATTCATGATGCTGGGGCTCATCATGGAGTCCACGCGGTGACTTTCCGACCTTTCCACGGTGAAGTGGAGCCCTGCTGCTTTGTCTCTGCGAATGCCCCGCTTCTCCGTGGTCTCACACCAAGGGAGAACCTTGGTCGAATGAATCATTTCTTTGAAGGCTGTGGAGTCAGGATTTTCTAATTCTGTTATTCCTGCTCTGGCACGAGTTGGCCCATCCCTGTAAAATAGTCCTTGGCTTCAGCCACGTGGACTGCCTGGCCATGTGGCCCTTCCTGCTGCACAGCAGGTGGCAGGTGATGTACCCAATTTTTCACTTGGGTTTCTAGTTTTTGAGTATGAAATTGCTTGACTAGTATTCTCGTGCAGTAATGCGTTCCCTTCTTCTTGCTTTCTCTTCTTTTGAGTACTGCTTGTAGACTCATGAATTTTCATCATTCCTTGTGTTTTGAATCAATTTAATCATTCCTGTTACTACCCAGCAGTGACCACATTGGCCAGTGGATACCCCTTTTGATACGTTTCTTTTGCTTTTTTAATACAGCCCATTTACTCTGGAAAGTTGCCTTGCTTTCTGCATAGCCAGATAGTGTAGGTTCGTGTTTTGCCTTTCCTGCCACACATGCAGATCTGCTATTCCTCCAAGGATTTATGTCTGTGTCCCTCCAACGGTAATTGGAAAAGCCAAAAGTCAGGTCACTAAAGGTTGCTTCTGAGACCTGCTCTTGGCATTGAACAAAACAAGTAAATATCTTTCTAAAAATTTGTGCTCATTTTGATATTTTTGAATTGGTCATAACATCACACTGTTTCACTTTATTTCTCTAATTTAGGAATACCTTTTTTCTTTCACCAAAAATGTTTCCTTTTTCTTACAATATGAAGGGGAAAAATTGTTAATAAATGGTTTTTGCAGCTCTGGTGCCTGGGGCTTATGAAAGAGGCTAAGTAAATATTACACACCGAAAGGTATCTTTGCCTTTCCTATTCCACTGACAAAGCTCTTCCTATCACAATAAAATACTGTTATTGTCTGAGCCATAAAGCCATTTTTGAGTATATTTAAACTGTTAAAAAAAATTAAATGGGTGCTGGTTGCCGCCACAGCTGCCACCTTTGTGGAAGTCCCTCAGGTCTCACCGAGGCCAAGCAGCACTCCAGAATGGACACCAGCCAGTGTGCGAGCAGACTGGCTCCAGCTTCATTTAGCATCAGTACCAGTTATTCAACAATGACCAGACCCAACTAGACGTGACTTGCACTGAAACATCACGCCTTACGTGGGCAGAGCAACAATTCCAGGGGGAGCTGTCAAGGCGATGAAGTTGTCTAGCCTTCTGTTCCAGAAAATCCAGCACAGCAGCACAGCTCAGGACCATCAGCCCACAGCAGATCGTCAGCGTGATTGTGAGCCAGCTCAGGGCCAATGAAGACCCCATCCTGGGGTCCCACCAGATGTTCCAATTAAAGAACATAGACCGTGCCTGGGGCGCATCACCCACATGCTCAGGCTTGCTGGGCACGACTTAGGCTGACCCCCTCCCAGCCCAGTGCTCATACTCTTTGCTCCGCGCTCCAATTCCTGGTGCTGTTCACACGCCTCCAGATGCTCCAGACACCTGGCAGAGCCTTGCTGGGAGTGGGTGTGTGTGCTGCCGCCCCCCAGGGACTGTGCATGATGTTTGGATGCTGGACCAATTGCATCCGACAGGAGATGCCTGCATTGTACCAGTGCCCACTTTGGAAAGACTCAACTGATGCAAAAGGTTGTCTCTCTCTTTCTTTTTTAATCTCCTGACAAGTTGCTCTGGCAACCCAGAGAGGTGAAGGGGAAAGCAGCTGCCTCACTGCTCAGAATTTGATTTGTTCAGATGTTTCAGTGCCTCATGATACAATAAAACCAGGGGAAAATATTTTTAATTTCAATGTTTGCTGTATCCTGCAAAAATATGTAGGGGTAAGTTATAGTCTTAGGTGCTTAGGTTGATATATCTGCATATAAAGTGAAGCGTATTATTTGTTGTGTGAAAAGACAATGGCTTGTGTCTCATTTTATTTTCAGTGGAGTGAGTGTTAACACCTCAGTCAGTGGCTGCAGGAACTCCCTGCCATGGGAGTTCTGGTCCCCGTCTGCTCTCAGCTCCTCCCTGCAGACAGGCTGCCAGGACCGCCCCGCCCTCCACTGATGCCCCTCTCCGCTTGTGTTGCAGGTACCTGTTTGCTCTTCAGGTGAAGCAGGACCTGGCTCAGGGCCGGCTGACGTGTAACGACACCAGCGCTGCTCTTTTGATCTCGCACATTGTACAGTGTAAGTCCTCCTGGCTCCCGTCACACGTCATGCTGGAAATAACACCACGACTGGATTGAAAGGGGATCAGTCACACCCTCTAAAAACAACCATCATGTCCTTGTGTTACTTACTATTGGTGTGGGTGCCTCTGGGTGGAAAGTGGGGCTCTTAGCTTTCTGTAGTGGGGGTACCCCCAACTTTAACCCGTGCATTCTGCCCTCTGGTCTTCTGCTCCTCCCAAGGTCGGGTACACATTGTTGATGCCTGCTTGTCTCAAAGGAGGAGCTGGGATGGACGACAGTCAAGTAGATCAAATTTGATCTGCCCTGTTCTTGGGTTTAACTGTCTTCAGTGAATGTGCACTTTAGCCGTAAGACATACACCTATTGAAGGTTTCACTTCTTGTCTTCTCTGTAGAGTTCAGTGAACCAAGATGCAGGAGGCTGGTCTGAATCCTAGTGGTCTTTGAAACTAGATATTTTAACTTTCTCAGTCTAGACTAACTTAGATGATGTCAATTCTAAGGCTGCCCACATACCTGCACATTTGTTTTCCCACTTAGCCACAGCAGAAGTCACTTGAAGTGGAATATACACATTACATTTCAAGGAGAGTAAGTCTATGTATAGACCCTGCTCAGCATATATAAACTCAAGTATAAAAGAAAGTGTTGTGCTGGCCTACCATTTTCAAATTTCCATCACGTGCTAAGCAGTCCCCACCATCTGATACCTACCCAGTTGACAAAACTTCCAGAGGTTTATGGGAAGTGTCACTGCTGGTATTCAGCGATTACCTTAGTCTGATAGGATGAGGCATTTCTATATATGCTGCTTAGCATCTTGTTTTTTGTGTATGGGAATTACTGAATGTGTGACAGACTTAGCAGATGGATATTTTCTTATCAATTTGGAAAAATGATGTGAGAAAGAGAGAGCAGTCCACATAGAGGTATCCATTATTAAACCTGTGTTCCAGCACTGCATATTATCTCATTTAATCCTCAAAGCAACCTCATGAGCTCAGTGTTGTTATTAGCTCATTTCACAAATGAGAAAGCTATGGGACAAAAAGTCACCTACCGTTTGCCTTTTCGTGTAGGGTCTCCTCACCTCACATGGTGATAGTGGGAAGAAGAGGAGGCCTTTGAATCAGGCAGACCTGAGATCTACTAGTCAATTGATGATCATGGCAGGTTTCTAACTCAATCTCTTTTTAGAACTTGAGGATAATGGGATTTTTTTCCATAAGACCTTGAAAATTAAATGATAGTATAATACCAAGACCTGTCAGGTGTTGAATAAACATTACTCTCATTCCTTTATCATTGCTTACCTGTAGCCTCCCTTTCCAAATAATGGAAAACTTAAGTCTGAAGCTTCCTTTTTGGAGTAGAACTTGCTAAAATGTCTCTGGCCAGCATAAGAAGAGAAATTGATGTGGCCCAAATATTCCTGATTCCGTGTAGATGCGCCCCTTTCTTTTCTTTCTTTCTTTTCTTTCTTTTTTCTTCCTTTCATCTTTTAACACAGTGGCTCTCACACATATGGGGAGCGCAGGGTCACAAGTTCCCAGAAAACTATGTGCCCCATCTAATAGGTCCTGCTTCCCCAGACACCAACAAGGGCCCGAGAGGCCCTGAGAATGTGCCCTCCAAAGACTTAGCCAGAAGTACCCCTGCTGTTCACATGGTATTGGAGACTCAGTCCTGAGACACACAATATTTTTATATGCTTAAGATATTTATAAGGGGCTCCCTGGTGGTGCAAGGGGTTAAGCAATGCACTATGAAGCAATCTGCAGGCTCTGCAGCATGAGTTCGATCCCCGGCCAGCCAGAGAGAAACCCACAGGGCACAGGAGACCTCTCCTGTCTCGCCCGCTGCTCCCCTCAGCAGTGTATTTCAGTCTGTCTGCCTGTTCTGTACCTGCTCTGTCTTTGATGTATCCTCTTACCGCTCGCATCTCTGACCCATACCCCAGCTCTTGTATGCATAAATAAATAAATCTTTTAAAAAAAGATATTTATAAATCCCCATTTCTGCATTTTAAGCTTCCCATATACCCAGCCACAGAAGGGGGGGATTTCACAGAGTCCTCTTTGAATAGGTGTTGATTTAAATGATTAATAACTATTTCTGTTATACTAAGGCAGGAGGGGTTCACCTTGTCTCCCTTTTCCTGCTCTGTGGACACGGATGGAACATTATTTCCAGATGAGCTTGTTCTTCTCACCTGTATATTCATTATCCATTTGTTTGATTCAGTTTCTCTCTCTTTCATTGGAATTTATGGAGCCATTTTCCAGGCATCTATATTTCTTCACTTGCTCCTCTATTGCTGCTCATGTATAGTATTTCAAACTTTTCTTTTTCTCTGACTATGTCTCAGTTAAGCTGGACAAGCTGAGCAGGAGCACAAAGCACTAGGAGCCTTGATGTTAAAATAGCTTGGAGCCCAGCAGGGCTGCCGTCTGCAGGCTGTGTCTGTATCTGCCACAATCATTTGTAACCCCCACCAAACCAGCACTTGGGATGCTTTGTTGGTCAGTGATCCACACACACCTTCCCACTGACATGGAACATCCTCCATTGCAGCTTTCCTAGGTAAACAGATGTCCTTTGTGGTCTATTTAGTTCCATGCTTTTTGTGTTTTTATGCTTTGGGTGGTGATTTCCCTGCTTGTGGTGGCCCCAGGCGGAGGGCTCCAGTGCTCTTTGAGAGCAAGAAGGCTGTGACATGCCTTCGGGGCAGGTAAACATGTATTGGGTGTTGGGGGAGCTTCCTTCAGGCATGAGCGATGGTGCTGTTGGCCATAGTCTGTGGAATGGAGCGACAAAGGATGTGAAATGCATTGTCTCTCAGTAGGAATGCAGAAAGGCCGACTGGCAAAAAAGGGGTGCTTCAGGAGTCTGGCAGAAACCCAGCAAAGGGGGTGCTTCGGGAGTCTGGCAGAAACCCACCGCCCTGTGTTCCCCCAGGACAGGGTTGAGGATTTGTTTGTTCAGTATCGGGGCAACTTTAGGAAGTACAGCTACTGCAAATGATGAAAACGAGCTATGCTTTCTTGGGTCCAGAATGAAGGAATTGCAGTCAAGTCAGTGCCACCGTAATCAAGGGGACCAGTGACGATGAGGCCCCACTTATGCACTGTTTTCTGTGATAAATTGTGGCAACTTTACTTATTTAGGGAGAGAGAGGTTAATCCAGAAAAGACAGTTCTAGAATAGCATTCCTGACCTGTTGTTGATCAGCACAGGAAGCTAGTGAGTGGGTGATTATTCCAGTGGCCAAGCAGGGGGGCAGGTGAGTGAGCCCTGTTTTGTGCAGAGAGAATATTCACCACGGGTGTGATCGGTGACACATTGAGGCCGCATCCCTCATGGTAGCTGGAAGTGCCTTGCCAGAGTGTGGCCGCCTGCTGCATATGACAGAATGACAAGTGTCACAGTAACAGTTCACTTGTTTTTACTCAGAACAGCTGCGCCGGGGTACTCTTTATTAAGCTTGTCACACAGGCTTTATGATATAAAAAAGGGCTGCCGTGCCAGGGTGTTGCGCCGATAGAAACCGAGCTGGCTCATGTTGGGAAGGTGCGGCCACTGTTTTAAAGCCCTAGCCTTTGAATATCCAGATTACAGCAATTTGGAGACTGTTGAGACTACATGAGAAAAACATGCTTCCAGTTTCTAATAAACACTGATAAGAATTTGCCATCTGACCTGTCGTTTCTGACAACAGGACTACAAGAAACTTAATAATTATTTTAAACCAAATTAGATTAGGTTCCTTTACACTCATTTACAATCATCTTATCTGTACATGACAGAGCTTTTGAGGTGTGACTAATAATTAATTGTTCTAGTGAAGAGTTTCATAAGCTGATTTTGTAAAGTCCTCAGATACAGAATTTTCTGGCTAGAACAGAAATGACCCCAACTTGGGTAGGAAAGAAAAAAGCAATCCAGGAGCGTGGAGGAAGCAAAAGCTGGGTGATTCCGAAGCTTTCTTTCCAACTGTTAAAGATGAGTGGGCCCTTCATCTTACATTGTTACGGTTGTTAAATATGGTCTCGCTTATGGGATTTAGGTGGTGGGTGTGGTGAGGTGACATGCATCTGAAGAGACATGTACCTATATCCCTACATATGCGGGGTTGTAAACCAGCATTACCTCAATTAAAATATAATATGGTTTATAAATAAGTAAATCCTCACATCCATGTCTTCCGACCTCTAACCCATGTGATTCCCTCCAGCTGGGGTGGCCTCTTGTCCTCAGCTCGCTTCCGGTTAGCTGGGGAATATTCCACTGGGAATGTAGTAAATTGAATGAATTATATGTGCTTCCTCCTCTGTTTCTTTGTAGCTGAGATTGGGGATTTTGATGAAGCATCTGACAGAGAGCACTTAGCAAAAAATAAGTATGTACCTCAGCAAGACGCTCTAGAAGACAAAATCGTGGAATTTCACCATAACCACATGTAAGTCTCATGCGCAGGTTCCAGTTCCTCTGAACCTTTCTCTCTATTCTTTTGATGCATAGGTGCGAGTGTTATGGGGCAGGGAGAGGGGCAGCCCAAACCCTGCAAACCTGCCTGTTCTAAATGGGTTCTGCCATCCGCCGCATCAACACAAAACATGAGACTTTAATGGGAAGGAACTTTAATACAATTTGGAAACAATACAGGAAAGGCAAAGAATCTAGTTTCTAATTCAAGCACCCAAAGTGACCCGTCCCCTCGTGGGTAAAACGCCGTCCAAATGGGATTGGCCCAGAGCAGGGCCCCAAAGCCTGCGACAAGTCTAAAGCACCTTCCAGTGGGGACCCACAGAAAAAGGTCAGAAACAACCAGACAAGCCCAGAAGGAAAAGAGCAAAATCAACATCAAGATAAAAGCTGCCATGGTCACCTCCCCACGGGTCTCACCCACATCTGTGTCACCCAGTCCAGACCAAAAGACAAGCGCAGATTCTTCACGTGTCTCTAGGCTCCATGCGCCTCCTCCAGGTCTCCTTCTGGCTCCATCCTGCTTCCTTCCTTCCTCAGTCTCTTCTGCAGCTTCTCCTCTCCCTGCTCTGCTCCACCCTCCCTTAGGTGGGGCAGGGAACCTCCCCCTTTCCTGGGGACCACCCTGTTACACGAGCACGTTCAAACACACACCCACACCCACACACTCTCATGCACGCACGCACACACATACACACACACTGTTGGAAAGAAATACATACTGGGTGAAAGAGACCAGGGGCTCTCGGGGTAGTTACTCACCGCGGAGTCACAGCTTAGCCACTCAAGTCCCGAGCTCTGCGCTCCTTCCTCACTTCCCTGTGATTCCAGGTAAGCCTGGAATTTGAGGAAACTCATGCTGTGGAATCAAAGGGAGAGCATAAGGCCAATTAACAGGAAATACAGAAAGGAAACATCAGAAGTAAGCTGGGGACATAGGATTTTGTGAAAATTGTGAATTTTTGTACAGCTAAAAGTTGCCTTTTTTTACTTTGATCAATAAAGAAGATGGTCCCAGGATTCTCTCTGCCTTTGTTTTTGTTGTTTTAAGGAAGGCGTGCGAGGCCTGGAGACAGTGTGAAAGAGTGCACCTTGAATGTGGCTTGAAGGTGTAGGTCTATTGTCAGTGATTGAAAACTTGTTTGAACATGGCAGTGTTTTGCTTTTGTATGACATTAAAGGCAACTCTGAGATTCAAAAAAACTGGGCAAGTTTAGATAGACTTTTGGGTTTTGTGTTACACGAGCAATAAAGCTTTGGACCCAGCCCCTTAACTCTGGGTTGTGATGAATGAAAGGTTGGGTGTCATCTGATCAGGGCGCCCCATTGTTTGTCATGAAGTGCCTCTTTATTTCCTAAGAGAAGCTGCTTAAACTCAAATTAATAGACACAGGGAATTCAAATCTTCTGGCCTTTTGCTTTAATTTTCGTTTTGTCAGTGGACAAACACCAGCAGAATCGGATTTCCAGCTCCTGGAGATTGCCCGCCGGCTGGAGATGTACGGGATCCGGTTGCACCCGGCCAAGGACAGGGAAGGCACTAAGATCAACCTGGCCGTTGCCAACACTGGGATTCTAGTCTTTCAGGTGAGAACACAGCCCAGTCCCCTTGGTGAGGGAGCGATAGCACCGTCCTTCGACTCTGGTTCCCAGGCTGGATGGCCCAGTTCAGGCCTCAGATGGTGATTGAACAGGGAAATCTCACCTCATCTCAGGACGTGTTGCTTTCCAGGCCCTCAGCGTCCAGATTCCATTCCATCTGCTCTTGCTCTAGTTGGGGGACTCCCTCATTATAGTTTTGTTTGCATTTAGTGACTATGTAACATGATAGAAATCTGTCTCTCTCCACGGGCCCAGGCTTAGAACAAAGTATAATGGAATCAAGATTTCAGACCCCCACATAAACAACTTCCGTAGTTGGGGGTATTTTTAACCTAACTTAGGTCTTACCTAGCCAGCTTATTCTGACTCAGCTCTGCCTAAGTGAGCAAGAGAAGCGTCGGTGATCTTTGAAGTTATGGCCGAGGTAGAAAGTCATCAGTGCCTGTCCATGTGCCGCAACAGTTTTGTAGCAAAGCGAACGCTGAACTGGGTCGTTGTCTGTGTCTTCCCGAAGGATGCAGTGATCTCCCGCCTTCTGAGACATGTTCTCTCGGCCACCTAGCTGTCAACCCCAGCATCTCCTTCCCCAGCAGGTTCATGGCAGGATGGTTGACTCACAGGTTATGCCCGTGTGAGGGATGTGAGGTTTGCCTGTTTCTGTATGTCTACATCCTGCGAAGCCCACAGCGCAATAGCCAGTCAGTGTCTGGACCCCATCCCCAAACTTTCCTTTTCTTTGAAGCAGCAGGGGGCTAATCTGTGCTTTGGTTTCAAAAGGGTGTGAAGATAGGAGCGGACTTTCTCACGAAATAGGCTCAGATTCTACCCATTTTTGAGGGGACCATCCTGACCTAAAGCTCTTTCTTGAGCACTGCCAGGTGTGGTTACACTCCCTGCACGTTCTGCAGATAGTCCCGGGAGCCTGTGCTGGCGCATCAGGTGTTTGTGCTGCCACTGAGAGGACGTCTCCCGCCCCAGGGCGGTGAAGGCGGGCGTCACTGGGCGTCACTGGGAGCCGGTGTTTGACCAGCACCAACTCTATGGGCCTCTGTGAGAAAAACGTCACACCAAACGTGGTTCTCAGTCTGACCACTGAAAGTCAACATCAGGGCCCTCAAACACTCCTAAAAATCATCCAGGGAGGAAGACGCGCCTCACACTTGAACGCTGGCTTGGATCATGTCTAATGCCATCTCGCTGCTGAGCGTGGCTCTGTGACTTAATCACATAGAGAGGCCAATCTTGGAATTAGTCTTTGTGCCAGTGCCCCCCTAGGGTTTCCTTCTCACTCAAATAAGTGGCTCCAGTGTCCTAGTGAATCCTCGAAGAATCCTCATTTTCAGGTGAGTTGACAGGACAGATGGAAGCTGGGGTCTGGCAAATATTTCTCCCCTGGGACAAACCTCACTACCATAGGAAGCTACAGAAATCTGTCCCACGGCGGTTCTCCAGTCGGAAGACACACCACAGGCCTGTGCCCTTGCAGGCGTGGACCAGCAGCCTGGCCAGTGTGGATATGGGGCTTGATAACTGACCTGTGTGTTGCTTCTGAGGGTTTAACAATAGCTACTGGTTAAGGCCCATGCTCAGAGCCTAGTTCTGCCACATGCCCCAAGTGACCTTGGGCAGGTTAAAGCATCCGTGCTGCCATTAACACGTCTGCAAAATGACGATAATGAATCCCTCTTGCTGAGTTTTGTGCTAAGGTTTGATAAGGACAGCGCCTGGCACCCTGCACCCCGGGCGCTGTTAGTGTGCCGGTGGCTGTGGTCTTTATTTCTGGGAATCTTTCTACCATCACCTTGAGCTGCCTCTTCTCTCCCTGGAGACCAGCTTGGTTTGAACGCCAGTGTATCATGAGTGAGAAACCGTGATCCGGGAACTGGAACCGTCCCACAGCCACCGGGTCTGTGGTTCTCCAGCAGAGGCCTTTCCTCCCAGCGCCAGCCCTCCCTGCCCTCCCCACAGCACAGCCCACCAAGCCGCGCTGCCCCCCAGCAGCAGCTCAGCGGCTGCTCCCTTTCTTCCTAGGGTTTCACTAAGATTAACGCCTTCAACTGGGCCAAGGTGCGGAAGCTGAGCTTCAAGAGAAAGCGCTTTCTCATCAAGCTGCGCCCGGATGCAAATGTAAGTAGCTTCCAGGGGTGAGGGGCCCCTGGAAGGCCTGGGCTGAAAGGGCGGCCCCTGGAGGTGCCTGGCAGCTGTTTGGGTGTCACCGGTGTCTATGGGGAGAGACATGTCTAAGTAGCTGCGTGACTGTCACCTTAGATAACAGGAAGACAAAGGACAGGTGCACCATGTATGCCAGGGGAGGTCACTGACTGCAGATCAGCCCCTCCCGCCCACTCCCCACTGCATCTCCAGCCTCTGGCCCACGTGGAGGCCCTATAGAACATTCCACACTCTTCCAGTGTGCCCCTGTCCAAGCAGTAGCCGTCCCTGCTCTTGTCCCCGCTCCCGTGACAGCACTTGGTCACAGCCTTATCAAGCCCTTCCCCCATCCCCCAGAAAGCCCTGAATTTGGACGCCACTCCCGCCAAAAGTGGGTCAAAGAAGAACAGCAGGATCTTCGTCTGCTAGACATAGCAATGAGGGAGACGGCTCCTGTGCCCCAGGGGTCCTCAGCCAGAACTTAGAGTACCTTTTCCCATGGAAAAGAGATTGTAAATGGCAGTTCAGGCTGAAATTTTCACTTCCGTGTGGATTGAATAGACTTTTCTGGCCTGGCAATCAGACACCCATTATGAGTGGTTTTCCGTGAGAAATGCTTTTGCGTTCCAGAGGACCGGATTGCAAGTAAAGAATTGCAGCGGGAATTGTGCATTGGGACTGTTCTGCCGGAAGCAGTGCAGGGCCCCTAAAATAGTAGGAACTGCTGGGACTGTTAAGGCCTGTGGTCACTTCTGTTTATTATATATAGCCGCTTAAATTGGGAGCGTTCAGGCTGGGGGTAGAAACATCCCAGAATCCCTTTCCAGAATCAAAGGACATGAAATTTTCCACTCTGAGTGACAGTTTTAGGCTCCCCAGTGTATGTTCATTTCCTGTATGGTCCCTGGAGCCACCGGGGGTTGGAGTGGGGGGACCATATGCTTTTTGATAATGAAAAGACTCAAGCCCAAGATTCAAAGTTGGCATGAGTCATGAAGAAGAAAACAGAAAGAAGAATTGTGTTTGTGATTTTAAGGAGGCAAAAAAAAAAAAAAAAGAAAGAAAATTTCAGTATTTGCACTTTTTTTTTTTTTAACAGGGAAATGTAAGCCAAATAAACACAATTTGTTTATGAATTCTGTCAAGAGAAATGTTTTGACTTCTGCTTAGTACCCTGTTTTCTGTTAGTTCCTCTCAGGAATTCTGTGGGAAGAATCATTGAATGATTGCTGTATTTTATCATGAGGAACAGCCCCGTTCATTTTACTCAGTCTGTGAAATTGTGGTCATGCTGTAATAAAATAGACAGCTGAAGTCTTATTGGACAAATTTCTTCTCTGTTCCCTATCTCCTACTTCATGAATGTCAGGGGAGGTCATGGAAAAAAAAAGTGAGTGGAATTTTCTCTTTCTAGAGCTCGTACCAGGATACCTTGGAATTCCTCATGGCCAGTCGAGACTTGTGCAAGTCCTTCTGGAAGATCTGTGTTGAACATCATGCTTTTTTTAGACTGTTTGAAGAACCCAAACCCAAACCAAAGCCCGTCCTCTTCAGTCGAGGGTCATCGTTCCGATTCAGGTGAGGATTCCCCCTCTGGCTCTGCGTTTGCCTCATGTGAGTTGGTGAGGTAGAAATGGCGGTTGGGGTAGTGCTGGCTGGGCCCACCCAATAGGTCCCTGGCAGACCTGGCTCTGTAGGAACGTCCTTAGCCACAGGGCCATCTACACAGCCCCGGTAGCTCCTAACAGTTCTCATTCAGAAAGATTCTGTAGAAGCAAAAGTGCCTCACTGACATTGGGTTGTGTCTTCACAAAATGCTGCATGGACTTGTGATTGCTTTGCTTTTTCACTCATTCATTCAACAAATATCGAAGTGTCTGCGTGTCCAGTACCCTCTAAGGCATTGAAGACAAACAGAGTACTCCCCGCTGTCAGGAAGCATGCAGACACTTGGGGTCAGGGTGGGGGTGCTGCTGAATGCACAAACATACAGTGGTGACGGGGTTCAGTGAGTTGAACATCGTCTGTTATTCAGAAGGAAATATCAAAAGAGAGACTAAATTCAGGTTCCCTTAGGCACCTTCCTTCCTGGGAAAACCCACATCTCCTAGGGAGGGGAGGAGGGGCTTGAAATGATGGCGCACTCGCTGTGTGTATAAGTAAGAAAGCCTTGGTGTCTTCTCCCCTGTCCCCACGTGGTGCTGCTTTCAGTGGCCGGACCCAGAAGCAGGTTCTCGACTACGTTAAAGAAGGAGGACATAAGAAAGTGCAGTTTGAAAGGTAAGGGTCACTTCGCTGCCATTTCTCATGTGAGAAGAGTCGTTCTTGCCATGTACCAAGGTGTGGCCACCCAGTCCAGGCCCTGTGAGAGAGTCACTGCTGCACCCTCAGTCTGGGCAAGGAGCCTGGTGAGCTGGGGGCCCTGGCCAGGATCTGCGATGAGAAGGGTGGACAGAGAGGACCAAGCCATCGAGGAAGCCTGCCAGGGACAGGGAAGGGAGAGCAGCTGGAGATCAGTGGGGTGAAGGCATGTAGATTGCTCATCGGTGAGGCCTAAAGCATTTTTTAAGATTTATTTTTATTTATTTATGCATGCAAGAACTGGGGTGTAGGCCAGAGGTGGGGGGAGGCGAGAGGATTCACCAGAGCAGTGGGGAGCAGAACAAGCGGAGCTACTGAAATACACTGCTGAGGGGAGCAGCGGGCGAGACAGGAGAGGTCTGCTGCGCCATGTGGGCTGCTCGCTGGCCAGGGATCGAGCTCATGTTGCAGTGACCTGCAATAGCCTGATAGCGCTGACACTTAACCCCTGCACCACTAGGGAGGCCCTGAGGCCTTAAGTATTTGGGCATTGGACTTGAAAGTATTTCTATAAACTTTGTAATGAAAGAAGGCGGGGATGAAAAGATGTGTTGTATCAGCAAAATCATAAAACACCAAGCAGGATGCCTTGTTGCCGTGGGCTCATGTTTACAGTTCGTACTCCCTGCTAGGCCCTGTTCCAAGCTCGATGCATGTATATAGAATGTGTATGTGTATATAAGAGTGTATTTATGAGTTTATCTATATATTAACTCAGTCTTCACCCAGCTCTGAGAGGCTGGTGCCGTGGGAGTCCGTTTTTAAAGATGGCGCCCTGCAGCTCGGAGGGGTTAAGTGGCGGGCTGGTCAGTGGGCGCCGAGCCCCTGGCCTTCCCCAAGGGGGCCAAGGTGAAAGAATTAAAGAAGACGGTGGGGGGCGAGTCCCATGGGGGTGCATGTGGGTTGGTTTTTGTTTTTGTTTTTTTTAAACCAACCTCTTTTTCATTTGAATACATTTATAAATTACAGTGATGTACAGGGAATACAGCAGACACCCGCACTGCTACTCCTTCACGTGAATAACTAGATCAACTAAGCAAATTAGCTACTGGATTTTTTTTTTCTACTGGATTTTTTTCCTCTTGTCATTGTTACAGATGGGCCTCATTCCTTTTTTACCAACAGCCCTTGTGTTTTCCTCCTCACTCCCCAAAGGCAACATCCCCGATTCCTGTCCCTCCTATTACATGCCTGCACCTCCAAAAACAATACATAGCGTTACTGGGCAGGGTGGGTGGGGTCTTCATTTATATAAGTAGAACCATCCTGTCCGTAATTCCACACCTTGCTTTTTTTTTAATTATTTTATTTTATACAAGTCTTCCATCATTTTTCATTTTTGAGCAATGTATGCATTTCCATTTTGGACATCGTGCTTTTTAAGCCCCATTCTGCCGTAGCCATCTCTCTTAAGCGTCCTGTGATATGCAAGAATTATAATTTATTTATCTGAGTTCCTACTGGTCAACAGGCTGTTTGGTGTTTGGTAATCACTTTGCTGAAACAGGCCTTGGCTGTGACCACCCTTGTCTGTTCCTCCTGATACCGATGCAGAAGGAATGACAGTGGATCCAAAAATGTGAAGTGTAGAGTTTTGGGGGTGTTTTTTTTTGGTGTGTATTTATTTAGTTATAACCAACCAATGATACACCTGGTGATCCAGGAATGCTGCTTTCTGAGGCTCATAGAAGTGGCTCCAGTACGTTCTCTGGTTCAGCAGGTGGTGCTCCCAAGCTTTTGGGGAATTTTGAAGAAAAGCTAGATGTACATTGCAATTTAGTCTACGAGTCTGAGAACCTGAAAAGTTTCTTGTGCTTATTCCCTGGGGTGGAGGGGGACACAGATGAAAGAAGAGCAGGTAAAAGAGAGGGTCATTGGCATTAAAGCCACTTCCTTCTGCTGTTGAGTCTCTAAATCCCTCCTCCGGCAGAGCTTGTCCTCTGGACGGTGCTGTGAGTTAGCTCAATTGCCAGTGGTGCTTGTCTGCATTGTAGAATCAGTCTAGAAAATCACTACCCTCAATACATGACTCCGTGTCATGGACCATTGTTTGTGATTCAGAGAGTATGTGGGGCAGCTCGCCCCATCCGTGCCTGCCCTCCACCTGGAGAGCTAGCACAGCACCTCACACCTGTCCTCACCCGCTGTGCCTGGGAAAGGGCCTTGCTGAGAACTTTCTCGAGGTTTAGGTCATGCCTCAGCCATCCGCATCGTAAAAAGATTCCCACACTGTGGGACTTTCCATTGGCAATGTTTATAAAAACGGCTCTGGGTGTCTTTATGATTGAGTAAGGGGCCTAATGCTGTTATTTTTCATTTAAAGAAAACAACCCACTCCGCTAACTTCAACAATCTTCTGCAATGTCCCCAGGAAACACAGCAAGATCCACTCCATCCGAAGCCTGGCAGCGCAGCCTATGGAGCTGAACTCAGAAGTGCCAAAGCAAGTCAGTAGCGGCCGTGCACGCTGACATTACAGCTCTGCTTTTCCCCCAGCGTCCTCTGCTGAGCTCTGTGTTCATAATATGCTTTGCAGCTCTTGGGCCTTCCCCTTTACAGGGGTTTTAAGAGAGGACAGTCGAGCTGCGTGCCCCTGGCTTTGACCAGACATACGCCCTGTCCCCGGTGCACCCCAGCCTGGGCTCAGCTGAGCTGAACACCATGTCCTTTGTCAGCTGACCGCCCGTCTTCTATCCCCTGCTCTGTGCCACAAGAACTGTGCTCTCTTGGCCCGAACTCTGCATAGTGGTGGAAGCTGGTTGGGAACCAGCAGAGCTGAGTCCACCCTCCAGTTAAATGAGTGTGTTTGTGCTAAGTGAGGGGGACCTGCTGTGCCACCTATGGGTGCAGCTCCTGCCCTGGGCCAAGATCAAGGCCTCCTGCTGGCAGAGCTGGGTGGTGAGTTCCCAGGGTTTGTGTTACAACACAGCGACCTCAGAGACCTTATCACTGTTGCTCCCGGGAGCTTGTATTCCCTGGAGCTGGTCTCTGCCTGAGTTGTCAGGGTTTTCTTGACCAGAGAATAAGAACTTTGTGGGGGAAGAACGTGAAGCAGGTTTCACTGTGTGAGTCCAAAGACAGAGCCCTTAACCTGTCTGTTCTGCCCTCGGAAGTTTAAACAAAGCAGCTTTTTGTCATTTGTCTGAAATCTGTGTCAACTGGTATTTGGAGGAGGGAGGGGGCTTTGGGGTGGGTTCTGTCCCTCGCCCTGCCGCTCCTGCCTCAGGAAGCCCCACCTTGGGCTACAGGTGCTCCCTTGTTCATTAGAAACTGGAAGTGGTGGGTCCTGGGAAGCAGATGGTCCCTCACTGCTGCTGTGGAGACCTGCATTGCCAAAGAGCTTCCACACCCTGGAAGGACTTTCCTGGCCACTGGTGCCGTGCGGCGTGGGGAGCCTTTTCTTGACCATCTTCTGGGCCACTTGCACCTGACAGGGAAGATGCCGCTAGCTCAGACTCTGTGCTCTCTCTGCAGCTCTGGCATAACCGCCTCCCTCTTCTCTCCCCTTCCCTTCGCCCTTCCTGCCCACCCCCAGGCCCTGCAGCGCGCCAGCCCCACACTCCGAGACGGAGCCGAGTCCCCGGGGGGCCAGAGCGGCCGGCGGGCCACGGAGCTGCACGTGTCCCAGGACCAGGGCGGGCCGCCCGCCAGCCCCGCTGCACGCCACAGCCCAGGGGGTAACAAGACGGCCGACGGAGCCGCCCCGGCCACGACGGAGGAAGAGGAGGAGGTCGTTAAGGATAGGACCCAGCAGAGTAAAGCTCAGCCCCCGCAGCCAAGCACAGGTCCAGCATCCCGGGCTGCTCGGGGCAGCAGCACCTCCATTCCTTTCATTGACTGCAGTGACGTAGATAGCGAATACGACCTGCTCAGGGAGCCCACGTCCCGGTCGCGCTCCCAAACAAATGACAATTATGAGGGTGATTTGACCAGTGGTGTTTATCTGCTCTCCAGGGAGGAGAGGCGAGTAGAGGCCAGGCGCAGGGCTTCCCCCCCATCTGTGAAGTCCTCCCGGCCTGCTTCCAGAGAATTCCTCGATGATGACTCAGCAGACATCACCTTTGATAGTAGCGGGAGCCCCCGGCTCCCCAGACATAGCTCTCTGATAGACGAGATGTTCCGGGCCTCGGGTAGTCGCAGCCCCCTGGCCACCCCATTGTCTCCCAGCAGCAGAAGTTCAAGTCCAAATATGGGTTGGGACAGGACCGGGTCTCAAGGCTATATTTCTGAAAACGGGCAGGACCCGAGAGAGAGAAACCTGGGGGAAGACAATCTCCCAAGCCAGAGTCCTCTCTACGAAAACTGTTCCCCCACCTTTCAAAGGCCATACTTACGGAACCTTCCCAGTAGGTACAATAAGTCCGAGACAGATCCACTCATCCTCAGCCAGGTAGCAGCAACCCCAGAGGCCCTGAGTCACCTGGATGGCCACGGAAGGGCGGAGCTGGGCAGCCTGGCTGGTTTGGAAGGTCGGGTGCTGGCTAACGGGGATGCCCTTGTGGGTCCGATCTCAAAGATGCCCACCCTGCCGTCAGCGTGTGCCCACAGCACGGGGGACCAGCCGGTGCCCTTGCAGGTGACCGAGGACTCCACCAGCAGCGGCACTGAATCCAGCGATTCAGACTGTGAGATGGTGAACCCTTCGAACCTGCATCTGATGTTCTGTAACCCTGGGGCGCTGAGCTCCCCTTCCATGCCCAGAAGTAAGAAACCCTTGGGTGGCCTGCGTCTGCGTGAAGAACCAGAGGAGGATGAGTGATGTTAGACGTTGGGTCTTGAAGTGTTGGCCACCGGGAGTCAGGAGTCCAGGGTTTCAATAGAGATGCTATGTTGTAGTGACTTACTAATTTTTAGTCAACGTTCGTGAAAAAGTTTGGAACAGGCACGTGTTTGGTTCTAGAGGGCCTGCCTGACTACGAAAATGTTCAAGAAAAACAAAGCTTGCTTTCCAAAAAAAGGTGGACAAGATAAACGTCATGCTAAAATGCCAGGCGCTGGTTTGTCTTTCAGGGTGAAGACTGGGAGGACAGTCTTTATGACGAACCTGATCGCTTGTCTGGTCTGTGGTGTTCACATGGGCATTTCTGTTGTGTTTGATTCTGTCCATGACCCTCCTTGTTGGCCGGGCGTTTGGGCTGAGTATCATTGAGATTCCGGGAAAGGTGTTGGTTTGACTTTTCCCCCTCTCTTTGAAAGGAGGGATGCTTTTCTGTGCCTCAAGTGAGAACTTGACAAAATTCAAGGCCAAATGTCAGCTGATTGTTCGCTGAGATCAAGTATGGGTGAAATCGTAGTCAAAAATAATGAATACTTTAATGGGAAGAATTTGAAGTTATTTCTTCTCTCCAGATTTCATATGAAAGAGCTAAAGGTTGTCAAATCTTTGTGATCTGAATTTGCATGGGATGGCTGGTGTGCTTTGGGTTTGTCTTGGTGAGTCAAGTTAGTAGTTTTGTTTTGAGAAATGTTAACTCGGGTGACCAGGATCTCAGTGAAACACAGAAATGCTTCGAGCAATGATGCGAGGAAAGTAAGTAAGACCTTGCAATAAGCACTCTTGTCCAGGAGGTGAGCATGCTAAGTGCCTGCCTTTGAATCATGCCTAGCACAGAGAAGGATCGTTTTTTGGTTTGTATGTACATTTATGCGCACACGTTCTTAATTTTCGCACTCTTGTGAATGGTGACTTCCAGATGTTTCCCTGTTCAGGAAAAATGAAGGTGTAAGCAGGGAGAGGTTTGATTTCTTTTGAAATCTAACCCAATCGTGCTAGTGTATTCACCTAACGTTTCTGCAATTTAGAAGAATCCAGTGTAACTTTCATTGTTTCTTGGCCTTAGCTGCACATTGGAATCTCCTGGGACATTCTCACACTTCGTGATGCCTGGGTCCTGACCCTAGAAATTTGAATCTAATTAGTGCCACGTCGATTACCCAGATGGATCTGCTGGGCAGCCAGGCCCAATTCTCAGTCAGGCATAATTGCCTTTCTAGAATCTAGTAGATGTTGAAAATGATAGCTAATTATTGGGCTTGCTTACTGAGGAAGAAAAGTATCACAAATGAAATGCTTTCTTTAGTGACTATTATTTGGTACTTTTCAGTCTTTGGTACTTTTTTTAAAAAGGAAAAATTGTAGAATGACACTTTTAGATCCCAGATAACTGCAAAGTTTTTGAAAAGAGTTGTAACAATGATAAAACCCTGATCGGCAGCCGTGCGGGGCCTCCCTCAACTCACCACGATACGTTCTCACAGGGAGAGCAAACCACGCTTAGGAAACTGAGTGGAACTTGGCAGTGGGTGTCACGAATGGAAGCATTGACCGACCTTGCAGTTCACAAATGTTTATCTGTTCACATGAAATCAAGAAATTGGTTTTATAGATTATGACAACTTAATCCACTTTTCTATAGACTTTTTTGACTTTTCTTAGTCATTTGATTCAGTGCATGATTGATGAATCAAAACGATTATCGTGTAGTTTTGAGATGTTCATTGAAGTCATCTATTTATGTCTTGCTTTAGATTTCTATATTGCCCAGAATCATAGAATTTTAAAAGTAGAAAGATCTTGGAGCTCCTCTACGTTGATTTTTATGGATGAGAAATCCTGTTCTGACGAAGAGATTCGCAGCTAGTGCATGACAAAGCTATAGCTAGAAGCTTCCTCTCTAGACGTCAGCTTTTTACTCTGTGACACTGTATGCAATAGGATCATTTTTGATTCAATATTTTAATTTTTGAGACTCTTATATGGATTAATAAGTAAAGTCTTGTGGATACCGAATTCCTGTAGACTTGAATTAGGCAATTACAGTTCTTGATAGGTAGGGAGTACTACTGTTTTTTACATCGTGGGGTTTTTGCAGTTATAACGCATTTGCAATTTCTGTTTTGGAGTTAGAAAAGATGTCTATTTACTGTCTATTTAGTCAAATGTGAGTTAACTAGAGTCACATTTGAAATTCTGTGGTTTGCTTGTGAAGGTGATTTATTCAGATGACTTTTTTATCTCTAATTATACAGCAGTCTGATAATAAAGTATGAGTGAGTGATGCATATTAACTTACCCAGTGCAGAATGCAAATCAATTGTCAACCTCCAGAGCAAAGCAGGCTCCAGTGGTTTGTTCTGCTTTTCCCTAAAGGAATGATTTTTATCAAAAGTGTTTTAAAAAGCAGCTGATCAGTGGTGGCGGACTTAGTCCTAGATGCTCCACGTCCAGCATTGCTCACAGAGGTTCTCATACCAGCCAAGCGCCTGCATTTCTGCCGCTTGGCCAGTATTTAGGAAAGCAGCAGTCTCGGTGTGATGAATGGTGCTTTAAAGCAAGGGGATAGAGTTTGTTCAAATACCACATGTCCTAAAGGGCTGAGAACCTGCACTGATTGTTTCTAGGGGAGCAAGGATTCCCAGCACTTGTGGCAGATTGATGTAAGCGTTCGTAGAGTCTGGTTTGTGGAGGCGCCATGATTTCCCTGTGCAGGGCTCGGGGAAATGACCAGCCTTCACCATCCCACCTTCCACACCCACTCATTCAGGTGAGACGCACATCCTCAGGTCTTCACCGGCCTCATAGTCTCATCGAAGGGCATGCAGGTGCGTGGAGGTAAACAAAGCCTGCAGGGATACCAGGGACTGGGGTTGGTGTAAGGAATAGGTAGCAGAGAATAGAGGCTGATGCGTCTTTCAGATTTCCAAACGTGTTCCCCAGACCTGTCCCCCAAATATCTCTAGTTCAGTAGCTAGTGGAAAAGTCTCCCACATCACCCAGCACCCCGGTCATCAGCTGGTGACTGCTCTGGGAAATGGTGTTTTCAGGCCAAGGCTGGAAGACAAACCATAAATAGAAACAAAAATTATTGAGCTACTCAGGACTGCCCAGGGCTCCTTGCATTAATATTTCTTCTTGCTAGATAGTATTTCAAAATATATAAATTGTAGACCCTTCTGTGGTTGATTTTGTTGCCACTTGTTCAGGACAAAATGAAAATGCAAGAAATTCTTTGAGCATGAAGAAATACATTTAATGAGTTCCAGAACTTAAAAACTTACCGTTCCGGCCCCATTAACGGTCATCTGTAGGCCATTGCCGTTATTTTTATTAGACAGGCATTTAATTAAAGGAAGTCTGTGGGCCAGATTCTTCCCACACATGTGATTCATCTTGGGGAATTTCTCAGATTCATCTCACTAAATTGTGCCACGTGGCTTGCCCTTAAAATGGGAATGATTCTGACTTTATTCTCAAGAACTTTTCTGAAGATTCAAATCATGCAGTGCTAAAAATTTTAGGTCTGCTCGGCCCACAGAACTAAAATACAGCGAGAGCCTCGTGGTGAAAAACTTCATGTTGACAAAATAATCCAGTCTGGGTCCAATGAATGAGAAACCACACTAGCCTGTTAGCCCTCGGATCACTTAGATTTGTCTTGCCCAGTAGTTCCTAAGAGGAAGAAATTTAAATATTCAGTGCTCTTTTTAAAAAAGTGTTTAAAATGGTGTGCACATGTCTCCAGCTCTCGTCTTCATGTCTGTAGTCTGAGTGCACATGCTTTCACCAGCTTTTCCATTTCAAATGTTATCCCACATTTCAACACAGAATGGGTCCAGGCTGGCTGTCACCGTTTGTGTCGCTGGGCTGCAGGTAGACCTAGCCGTAGAGTAAGAAATTTGGGGCGCCCTTCATCCTTAGGTCACCTGGGACTGTATTTGCTGCCATCTTGGTCACACCTCTTTGCCTAGACCGTTCTTCTCATTAACCGATACCTAAAGTGATCTT